CATAACTCAAGGCTAGAAAGGTTATCTGCCAACCAAAGACCTTCGAGTTCGACTACGCTCAGCTCCAAGGCACATCATTCACAGCATATCTCAAGGCAAGAAAGGCTATCTGTAAACAAAATTGTCGAGTTCGATTCCATTCAGCTAGATGAAAAATCAATCACACTACTTTCTGGTTACAGTCGAAGTTTTCAAGTCGAGAAGAAGACCTGGGTTAGCCGTGCCTTAGTGACAAGCAACCATTTTCAAGCAGCATAGCTTAAGTCAAGAAAAGCTATCTGTCAACGAAGATTTCTGAGTTCGATTCTGATCCAAGAAGAAGACCGAAGGGCAACGAGAAGCCATGTGCTAATTCAAATTCTGAACTACGACTTCAATTCCATATCATTTCAAGATGAACTCGACTTCACGATGGAGGAGTCATCCGCAACTTAATTTGACAGGGAGTTATTGAAACATCAGAGTCAATTTTCAACTCTACCAAACGAAAAGTTTGTCTTTTAATCTTTGCCCTATCCCCGTTATACGACTATGGGAAAAGAGGGGCAGCTGTCAACACACCTTTTCATCCGGGTACAATACTCTCAACAACCCTGATTTAGTGGGATTCAGAAAACAAACATAACGTTAGAGTTTTACTAGGATTCAAACTCCTAAAAATAGGATAGAGTTTTACTAGGATTTAAACTCTTAAAAATAGGATAGAGTTCTACTATGATTCAAACTCCTAAAAATATGATCCAGAAGCATTATAAATAGCCATTATAACTCACTATTGTAACGAACGATTTACATACAAAATACAGAGGAAAGCACGAAAAAATACAAAGGCAAAGCTATTGTAAACGATTCGGAAAGGAAATAAAATGTAGCATCTTTTTTACCTTGATTCATTCATTTCTCGCATGTGCATGTTATTTTTCTTGAGATTTGGTTCGAATAACCCAAAACGTGGGTTGCGTCGATGGCCAAAAAGGGGTGAGATTTCGAAGTTTCGAACCTAGATCTACCCTCGAGACGTGTTCATGTTTTTAAATATTTAATTATCCCCCCTAAATCAATATTTCTTTTTTTCTTTATTTTTTAATATTTTTTTTATTTTACTTACTATTTTGTCTTTGCTTTCTTTATCTTATCTTTTATTTAATTTGTTTTTTTTTCATTTTAATTTTATTTATTTATTTATTTATTTCTTACCTTTTTATCTAACACGTTTCTTGGCTCTCTTAAAGGTACACCTTTAAAACTATCTAAGGTAAGTAATTGGGATCGTATTTTTACCTTTTAATTTTAAATTACAATTTTCTTAATTTAAGACAACTGGAAATTGCGTAGTATCGAAAGGGCAGTTCAAGGGTGCTAACCCTTCCTTGACTGTAACCGACTCCCAAATCCGACAAATCTTTGGAAAGACGCAGATCAGGTAAGAAATAGGGTATCCGATCAACCCATTTGTTTTAAGATAAATGATCGGTGGCGACTCCAATTCGTTTAATCCAAGTCGAAGCCCAATTTCGGGCTCAACCGAAAGACGGTTGCGACACGATCTATCCATTGTTTGTAAATGTCAAAAACGACATCTTAATGGTAATGTTTACAAGTAAACGTTCAACCCTTAATCATTTCATCTTAGGAAATTTGAGGAATTAAGCAATACTTTTTTTTCATTTTTCATCCTATTTCTTTGGAATTTGGTCAAAAACAAGGAAAAAGATTGTTAAAGTTTCTTGCAATACCTTGAATGTTTAAACCAGAAGAAGAAGAAACACTCACGTGAAAATCATGCGCGTGGCATGGGCTTACAGTTACATCCACGAGATGAGTTAGCAATATGCATGAACTGGTTTTTAAGATGGTCAAATTATCAATAGCAATCGCATGACAAAAGGAAAGTTTTGAAACTACAATTTGATTTGATAATATCTTTATTTGAAGTTGTCAAAAATGAATTTTGGTCATAGAAATTAGGTAAAAATGCATATTTATCATCTGTACAAGTCTTTTCTCAGCTGCCCTCTATACTACTATTTTTGTTCTCAATAATCTCATGTACCATATTCATAAAGAAAAATAATATATTAGATTAAAATAAATAAATAAAAATCATCAATAACATTAAGATATTAATAAGGAATGAAAGATGTGCAATATAAGTGGTTCATACTTCCTATGAATAATAATTATTTTAATTAAAATGGTTAGTTTCCAACAAATGGACCTCGTTTAAGTGGAAGTATTCCTTAAAATCCCAATACCGCATATGACATGCTGCATTTTTATAACACACATAACCCGTATACGTCTAGAATTACAAGTTAAAGATGTTACATTAACATGTCAGAACATTCCTTGAACATAATTGCTTAAAAAATTTGTTTCATTGTAAAACATCTTTTTATCAACTTTAAACATGTTTTATTAAGTGTATATATTCATAAAATGATAATTTATCATCAAAACAAATCAAATTTTACGCAACAATTAGGCAGTTTAGTGTTGTTTCATAACTATATAAAATTGTCTAAATAATGGTTGATTTAAAAACCATTTAAAACCTAACATTTATACTATTCATTCATAAATACGATTATAACTGAAATAGCTAAAATTAAAATAGTCATAAATTACTATTACAGATCCTTTTAAAATAAATTCGATAAAGCATCCCAACAGATATAATGTACATGCCACTAATAAGTCCAAGATAGGATGTCTTACTGATATTGCCAGTAGGTTTGATTTCCAAAAGATGCTCGGAAAGCTCATCGCTTCACGTCCTTTTCTTTATTCAAACCTATGCATGAAAATCATCATGCGCTAAATAAAACATAGTGAGGCAGCTATACAGTTAAAGTGAGTTAAAACATAAAATGCAATAAAATATTTTAAGACAAAAAGAAATGTGATTTAATGAAAATGCATTGAAGCTTTCAAACCGAGATATTTAAGCTGATTTCCTCTTCAGAAAACTTGAAAATCACCATCTCATGATTTTATCAAAATCATGTAAATCAACATCATATATAACAACTATTTCATATTTCTTTTTTGATTTGTATATAGTTTAAAACTTTCATTTTCACTTTTATATTCTTTCCTTTCATATACTTTTCTTAACTTTCATAGCCCAATGCATATTTATGAGAACACAAGGTACATGAGTAGAACATAAGGTGCACAGTGGGCACATCAATGTGCCATTCTTAACTGAAACATATAATGCACTCCAAGTGCAATCATAACATGTTGAGTTAATCGATCGATTGAATCGGACAAGAGGGGGTGAATTGGCAATTAAAAATTTGGTGGAAGCTTTTGCAGAAAATTGAAAGTAATTGCACAGCGATTTAGAGTGGTTCGAATTTCTCAACCAAAGTCTACGTCCACTACCTTAGCTATCCACACTAAGGATTTTCCAACAAATTCACTAATTTGTTCTTTCTTTTGAGGACAAAGAGTAACCTTACAATTCCCTCAAGAATTATACCCCAATTCTTGAGCACACTCTTTTTCAAAGAGAAATACACAAATTTGCAAACTTACAAGAAAATCCTCACAAGGTAAGATGTTTGTACAATTCTAGAACAAGAAAAGAACACTCAAAAATAATTACAAATGAGCACAAATGGTGTTCTTGAAAGCAAAATGAATATTGAAAGGAAAATTGGCTTGAATTGCACAAACTTGGTGTTTGATGCTTTCTCTCTTGTTTCTCTATGATTTATTGTTGATCAAAGGCTTCAGAACTTGTTTAAATACTCCCTCAATTGATTCTGAACATTGGGAATGATTAGTGGAGTCAATTGAGCCATTTAAGTGTGAAAGCAATTAATAAAACAGCTTGGAGCGTGGGGGGTATCAGTACCCCTTCATAGGGTATCGGTACCTGTAGTGTAAAATTCAAATATTTCGACCGTTATATGCCTTAGGGTATCGGTACCATATGAGGGGTATCGATACCATTGCATGGAGGTATCGATGCCTATTAGGGGTATCGGTACCATTCGAACATTCTGTTATTTCTCGGAACCAAAGTGTTCACAGGGGTATCGGTACCCTATAAGGGGTATCGATACCATACTAAATAATTCTTATTTTTGGCTCGAATATGGCTCGAAATACTTTGTAAAAATTGTTTCAAAAATATTTTAAGATTGAAACTTAATTTTACACTTGAGTAAGGATTGAAATAGACTTTCGAAAACTTGGAGTAATAATTTTCATATTCGAATAATTAAAAATCTTAAAAATAATTAACCACTTAATTTGTTATATCAAAACATCAAAATGTTTTCAACAATCTCCCCCTTTTTGATATAACAAAACATTTTAATAATTGTAAGATTTTCTAATTTGAAAATAATTTTGGAAATCAAGTTTGAAAATTTTGAAAAATTACTCCCCTTACTCTAACATTTCTCCCCCCTTTTTGTTAAATAAAAAAGATGACTTAAAAGGTATAGAAAACAAGATTTTGCCAATTGATTAAATAAAGCTTAAGCTGTTAAGATCAAAATCAAGAGAAAGATTAGCCATTAGTTTTATAATCAATATTCATAAACAAATATGCAATGGAAATTGGTCATATATTCTAAATGATGCCAAATAAAAAGACTTTTAAGATCAATATTCAAATAAACATATTCAAACTAACAATTACTATCCCAGAAATCAAAATATCCAAAACAAATTCAAACCATTCAAAGCAAATTTAAACATCCATAAAAGCATCAAAATGTTTTAACAATGAAAGTTCTAAGTTGATCCAAAACAAAAACCAAACAAGGTCTACTCTTCCATAGAAGGATCAAGAGGGGAAGGAAATCGTGCTTGTATCTCAAGAGTAAGAGCATCCATACGTGCAAGAATTTCCCTTTGAAACTCCATCTGTTGAGCTTCCAAAGTGTCTAAGCGACGATTAACCGCTTTGTTATTTGTAGTTAAATGGGAATCGATAGAAGCAGACCGTAGATCAAATGTCTCCAAAAATGAACGAAAATATGGAGGCACTTGATCCTCTTGTTATGCTGGTTCTTCGGGCTGCTCCGGCTCGTTGTCGACTTCGTCAATATCTTGCATTAGTTGTTGAAGCTCTGTATCGTCGTCCGCTCCCGGTGGAGCTCGTGAAGAACTAGCTCCCAGAGTATCCTTTGAGGATCGAACCCATTCACCAGTTTCCTTATCCTATATCCATCCCGATCTCGTTAAGGAAAGAAGATTAATTTGGTTTTTGAGAGGGATGGCTACATCAAGTTGTACCCTAAGCTCGGATTTCTTAAACAAATTACTCTGTAGACAACCGTAAACTAGACTTGGACAAGTTTTCTTATTAGGAACGAGATTCACGGTGTCAATGAGAACAGAAAAGATGATATGAGGAAGATTAATTTTCATATTATTCTGGATACAATGTATCCACCACAAATCTAAGGCTTTAAGAGTGGAGTATTTTCCTCCGGATGGTTTAAACCACCAAGAGATCATAAGATGAAGAAATCGATTATGATGATCTAAGATACTCGCACTCGATCTAACCTTGTAACGGGAACCTACGATTTATTTTTCATTACAAAATCCATTATCATCTAAGCCAAAAGCATGTTCTATATACTGAGAATTTATGTGAATGAATTAACCCAGAAGATAGGATTGGATCCCTATGGCTGTGGTTTGTTCTCGATTTTGAATGCAAACGGCATTGGAATAGAAAATTCGAACGAGTTGTTGGTAAACAATTGGTTCTAGTTGACAGAGTTTATCAAATTTCCAATCTAATAGGGTAGGTAGATATCTAAAGTCACTACAGTAAAAGTGGCTTGTTGCGGCGTTTTTTTTACTTATAGCGGCGTTTTTAAGCGCCGCTAAAAACACCTGCGGCGTAAAGACAAACGCCGCTAAAAGCATCGCTAAAAATAGCGCCGCTAAAGTTTACGACGTTTTTCAACAAAAAAATGCCGCAATAGGTGACAACATATAGCGGCGTTAACAAACGCCGTAAAAGGTATTGATATTTAGCGGCGTTTGGCAGAAAAACGCCGCAATAGGTGTTGATATTTAACGGCATTTGGCAAACAAACGCCGCAATAGGTGTTGATGTTTAGCGGCATTTTCTTCACAAACGACGCAAGAGATGTTGATTTTTACTAACGTTTTTCCTACAAACGCCGCAATATGTATTGAGATTTAGCGGCGTTTTTATCAAAAACGCCGCTAAATGTATGGTATATTGCAGCGTTTTTTGTTACAAACGCCGCTAAATAACACAGAATTTAAAAGTTCTAAATATTATGCTTAATACCCCAAATCTATTTTTTCAACCTGTTCCATTATCCAACAAACAAAACACCAATAACATCAAATCCAATATAATAAATAAAAGTTTTCATTAACGTAATATAAGTTAAGTTAAACACGATTTAGTAACATTAACATAATGCTCATAACATAAATGAGGCTACGATGGTGGATTCTGAGGTTGCGTTTTTTGTATCATCAGCATCATATCATTGAGTCGATTTTCAAATTCTTCACATCTCTGCTTATATATTACTTCTCTCTGTGCTACCAATGCTTCTCTCTGTGCTACCGCTGCCTCTCTCTGTGCTGCCACTGCTTCTCTCTCTGCTTCTGCTGCTGCTCTAGCTGCTTCCAGTGTTGCTCTCTCTGCTTCCCTTGCTTCATTTTCCGCTTTCAAGTTAGCCATTTGTTGATCCATCTCAGCCAACTTTTCTTTTAAACGACCAACTTCTAATTGGGAAGATCGAGACTGTGATGACATGTACTGTGATAAACTGGATCCAAAATATTTGGTGGGAGTAACGAATGATCCTTGACAGCGCACCCGACCATATCTTTCAGGACCCAAAACGTCATTAATAGTTTGGTTTTCAATGTCATCATCATTAATAATACCTTGACTCGAAGCAGTAGCATGATACTCTGCCCTTTTCTCCCTCAATTTTTCCTAATAATAAAGTGAATAATTAATTAAAATAAAAAATGTCATGGTACAAATATAAATAAAGTCAGGTAAATTTAAAACATCTACCCAATAAACGTACCATAATTTCTGCAGCGTCAGCAGTCATAGGAGTGCCATCCTTCTTCGTATGTGTCATGTCGAAGAGTTGGATTCGACCAACTTTAGAACCGGATGTATTTTCCTACAATGTACCATAATGTAATTACTATGAGTTAGTATGTACATGGAATACAAAAAACTATTTCAATAATCTATAATACCTCCTCATGAGCTATACAAGTAAAGCTCTTCGATCCAGCCGTGTGCGTAAACTTTTGTTGTTGCCTGCTAGAAACACCAACATGCTCTCGGTCCTACAATGTCAAACAACCACTTATAATGATGATTTAAATTTTGTTACAAGTATTTATGAAAAATACATCATACTTGTCTTTTTTGAGAACTCCAAAATCTGACTGCATCTTCCCATTGGTACCTGAGCATTCCTGGTGGGACTGTTTGCAACTTCTCTTCAAGGCTGAGATCATTCTTGAAGTATTTCTTCTTTAAGGAGCTCTTGTGGTCCCTCCATCTCTTACCTAACGCTTGCTTCACATAATCGTCAGAGACCTCTAAAACAAATTTCTCCTATACAGCAAATAAGTGTGCACCGTAAGTATAAATTAGTATTGAATTTATATAGAGTATCTATTATAATGACATTATTACCTTAACAAAATCCAACGCTTAATTTTTGTTACTATTAGGCATTTTGCGCCATGACTCATAATTGATCGGTAACAGATTCGCATTACGTCCAACTATGCCTAAGTAACCTGCTAGAAGACGTGATTCTGGGCCAATAGGTTGACCGGCATCGTTTCTTGAAACTTTGACACGATGCCCAGGAGGAAGTTGGTATAATTCCTTTAAAGTTGTACGTCCTCAAGTCTTGTGCGTTCCAGCATTTTCAACTATATAAGAAATTATTAAATGTCAGTTTTGAAAATGAACAAAGTAGTAAATAAAGTTTCGAATATTACCTTGAATCTTCAACAGTTTCAGGAACTTCGGAAGACTCAGGTGCATTCGTTTCCTCATTATTTCTTTCTTCATGGTCTTCAGAAGCTCGAACAACCCGCAAATCAGATATTTTTCTCCTCGGCATTATATCTGTAATAAACAAACATGAGTAATAAAAAACGATTTAATTAATGAATACATTGAAAGACAACATGTTAAGGGTTATAACATTATAAATAAATAAATGAAGATATAAAATCGTACAACAGTCTTATGTAATGTCAGTTGTCATAAATATCTTCATCAACGTCCTCCCGAACCCATTGAAATTGTGTTGTATTACTGATAGTTTCATCTAAGTTTTGTGGTAGTAGAGGTAAACACTCTGATCTTGTTTCAATGTCATCTCTACTTCCATCCCCGATGTCTATCAAGTCTCTGGGAGTATTTCGAAGCACAACATACCAACCGTCATCCATTAGATCGTGATAATCAAATACTTGTTTCACTTGAGAGGAAAATACATATGGTTCATCCATCAAACGTTGACTCGTGTGAATTAATCGAGAGAAATTCACCATTGAAAACCCGAATTTATCTCTTTTTATACATCTATTTACATCAACCCAGTCACACCGAAACAACACAACCTTTTGTTTTCCATAATAATCTAACTCAATAATGTCCGTAAGATTTCCATAATAATCGACCTCTCCATCCTGGAATTATTGTCCCTTACAGTAGCATAACTTGTAGTTGATGAGGTAACTACGACTCCACAATTTTGTGTCCTCCTTAATCTTTCACGAGATTTCATGTGAAACCTGAACCCATTAATGAGGAAGGCATTATATCTTTTAACTATTCTATTCGGACCTTGAGAAAGCCATTTAACTTCTTCACTAACTTCTCTCCCACTCCAAACCTATTACACATGAATGGTGAATTAATTTGCATTGATGTCGATATAAAAAGCAAGACATATATTATTTATAAGTGTTCCGTAAGATTTAGTTGCTTACCGTCTGGCCTAACCATTCATGAAAAGTTTCTGTGAACAACTTATGTAGCTCTCGCTGATTTAATCTTCGGGAGCGTGCTCGAGATCTCAATACTTCTTTAAACTCACTATAAAGAATATTATGTCGATGAAAATTGATAAATATAAAAGATAAAGAGATTTCATTAGGATTAGGTCCGAAAGACTTACGTGCGAAAGTGATCTATTGAATCGTGATGGAAAAGAACATATCGGTGTGCTTGTACCCAAGACGTGTCATCTAAATGTGCAATTTCAACTTTCTCTAATGGTTGACCATAACTTCCAAACAAATAATGTTGAGTTAAGTCATCAATACCTAACTCATCATTTCGATTTGGTCTATTTCATCTTGTTTCAACATGTTCCAAATATCTAGAGCAAAATGTCATACATTCCTCTGCCAAATACCCTTCAGCAATTGATCCTTCCGGATAACGCTTATTACGACAATAAGACTTCAACTTGCCCAAGAACCTATACAGAAAACAACATACTACGTAAATACATTTTATTCAAATGTATAATCAGTAGTAATTTGAAACGTGTAATTCAATTAACACCTCTCTATAGGGTACATCCATCGATAAAAAACGGGACCACCAACTCTTTCTTCGTGAGGAAGATGAATTAACAGATGCACCATAATTGTGAAGAATGAAGGCGAAAATATCTTCTCCAAGTTGCATAAAGTCAAGGCAACTCGATCTTGTAGTTTATTAAGTTCTTCAACCATTAGAACTTTCCCACATATGGCTTTCATTATATTAGAAAGTTCAATGATACAAGACGTCACCTTACTCGACATGCAACCGCGAATAGCTACTGGTAGTAAATCTTGCGTTAATATGTGATAATCATGAGACTTTAAACCATAAAGTCTTCGATCTTTAACACTAACACATCGAGAAATGTTTGATGCATACCCATCTGGGACCTTTATATCCTTCAACACCGTGCAAAACACTTCTTTTTCTTTCTTCGAAAGAGAAAAAATAGAAGGCGACAAGAAATTTCTTCCATTCGGACGTAATTGCGGATGAAGATCATGTCGAATTCCTATGTCCACTAAGTCAAGTCGACTCTTAAGATTATCTTTAGATTTTCTGCCATCATTCAGAATGGTCCCGATAATATTCTCATAAACATTCTTCTCAATATGCATTACATCAAAATTATGTCTCAAAATATGCTTTTTCCAATAAGGCAACTCGAAGAATATACTCCTCTTTTTCCACAAGTCTACCTCATTTGGATCATCCTCTTTATCAGACTCATCATCAGTTTGTTCGTCAACTTCAAGCTCTTCATTGACCTGTTTTGCCTTTTTCTTTGATCGTGTACTAGTTGGTTGATTCATCTTTCCATAAGTAAAATTGATATTTTTCAACATTCTGAATATTTCAGACCTGGTTGTTTGGTCAGGAGCATTTCGAAACTCTTCATCACCATCAAACATATTCTTTTGAAATTTAAATCTATGATTATCAGGTAACCACCGACGATGTCCCATATAAGAGAACTTTTTTCCATTAACCAACCACTTCGAACATGTTTGTGCAACACAATAAGGACAAGCATAACGACCTTTGGTACTCCAACCAGATAAATTTGCATACGCAGGAAAATCATTAATTGTCCATAATAAAGTAGCGCGTAAATTAAAGTTCTCCTTCGTCAATACATCGTACGTTTCGACCCCTTCCCATAACTGTTTCAACTCTGCAATTAGCGGCTGCATATAAATATCAATATCATTTCCGGGGCCTTTCTCGCTGGGGATTATCATGGATAAGATGAAAGATGATTGTTTCATGCAAATCCAGGGAGGTAAATTGTATGGAACAAGTACAACAGGCCAAGTACTATACGAAGTACTCATGAGTTTGAATGGATTAAACACATCAGTTGCAAGACCGAGCCTGACATTTCGAGGATCTCTCGCAAAACTTGGATACTTGTTGTCAAATGACTTCCAAGCTAAAGAATCTGCAGGATGCCGTAATAATCCATCATCAGTTCTGCCATCATGATGCCACCTCATAGACTCAGCAATCTTGGAGGACATAAACAATCTTTGTAGCCTAGGTATGAGAGTAAAATATCGCAGAATCTTGATCGGTTTCTTTCTTGATCGTGCTTGAGCTTCATCCTCAGTAATATTTTCTGTCTCTCTAGTCATCCATCAAGATTTTCCGCATACATGACAAGACTCCTGATTTTTTCGATCACCCCAATATAACATACAATCATTCGGACAACTATGAATTTTATCATATCCAAGACCCAAATCTTTGATCATTTTCTTCATATCTTTGCATGATTGAGGGATTTTTGCAAAAGGAAACACTTCTCCTAGTAACTCCAACAATTGCGTAAAGGAGTTACCAGTCCACCCTCCCAGGCATTTTAAGTGGAAAAGACGAATGCAGAAATAAAGCTTTGAAAACTTTGATCCCTTATAAATTTATTCATTCATTTCATTCAGCAACTTGTAAAACTTTGCCGCTTCTCCATTTGGCTCTTCATCACATCCACTTCTTCTAATCTCAATGAAATCATTAACATCATCCTGACAATAATTTTCTGTATCATACGACTGATGATTGTGCATATTAAATGCATCTCGTAACATCCCTTCCATGTCATCTTCTCTAAAAGTTGGATAGGGAGAAAGAGCATGATAAGTCGAGTAACTCGTGGAAGTAGATCTATCTGATACAATCTCTCCATGAAAGATCCATTTTCTATACCCCCGAACAAATCCAAAAATAACTAGATGCTCGTACACAACTTCACGAATGTGCCAATTAATGTTCACACAATTCTTACAAGGGCAAAGAATCATATTTTCTTGGCTTGCATTCAGAAAAGCTAAATTTAGAAAGTTTTCGACTCCATTTCGATATTCGACGCTTACCCTTGAGAAATCCATCCAACTCTTATCCATTTCGTATTTCTGGAGTTCCAATTTCAAATGTTAATTGCTAATAATATAGATAAAATTAGAACCTAAACAGAAGCATTAAATTATCATATTTAGTGCATAATAATATTTGCATAGTATAAAACTAATCACTCGTAAATTATACAACTTTTAAATTGATAAAATTGTATGGGAGCAAATGTATCTCAGTTAATTTATAAAAATTATAACAAGAATTATATACAACTGCATACTATAGAACTAAATACTTACACATGTTTCATCAAATGTAGCATTTACATCTAAACAGACTCATGTTTCATTGTTACTGAGAGAGGCATTAAGAACTTAGAATGAAATATAAACCCAATTAACCCATTAGCGAAGGGTTGAAGAAATAAAGAAAAAGAATAACACAAAAGGACAACCGACTTAAGTCGTAGTCAACAATTTCTCAGTGAAATGCATACTATATCTCTGTGATTAATTATGATTGTTAGAAGTTAGAATTCCAAGGACAATCCACTTAAGTCTTAGTCAACTATGCGACACCAAGAATAATTTAATACATTTGACTTGACAATCTTAAAGCAACGTAAAAATACTTTACTTAATGAGTATCATGGACAAACCTGGAAAATGTTTATTATGATGCTATTTCGATGAACCAGAATAATATATGCATGTCACTAATACATGTGCAACTCGATCAAACTCCAACAGCAACAGTGATTTATGTAACTTTTTTTTTTTTGCAAATTCTGACAACCATGCAGGCAAAGCAAGTGTACTGTAGCAAATAAACCACGATTACATATCATCATAAGGGAAAAGGAGGCTAATACGTTAAATGATTTAAAGAACCTAAACCAAATAGATGAGCACGAATACACGTCTTCACAAGTGAAGTGAACTGAATTAAGAGCCATTTATTGTGTACAACACAGTATACATGTATTTGAAACAAAAACAGAACCATTTAGGGATCGTTAAGGACAGAAAAGATGGTTCTAACATAGTTCATGCAAATTTTAGAAGACCCTCGTCTTGTGTCACTAACCATTTCGTTAACAGAACCAAAGATGGATCATTGATTAAGAGTTAACTGGACATTTCTTCTGACTCTTCATTTGTTTCACACCTCCTCTTCACTTGGATATTTAATAATTATTCGGAATTGTACCAATTGCACGTTCTTTAGGTTTTGAGGAGGACAATATATTATAATCCATAATTTCCATTCATACAAATATTTCCCCTAATGAATATGGAGATAGTTGCCTCATTTGAAAATTTAAAATTATTATATTATATATATATATATATTGATTTTATATTAAAAATATATTTTTACCCTCTATAATTTTACAAATTTCATCTTTCCTAAAAGTTTAAAAATTCTCCCCCTAACATAAAATCCTACATACATCCTTTCGTGCAACCAACTAGACGAACAGGGACAGAGCCAATATTCCAACATAAGAGGGAAAATTAATCATAAAAAAATATGGGAGACAAAGTATAATTAATCATAGAAAATAAGGGGACAAAATATGTAATGCACCGAATCTCGGGTTTGTAGTTGAACCTGAGGCCCATAAATTGAGCCAAATGACCCATTAAAATAGTTTGGACTTAATTAAGTTGAGAATGGGCTTGAGTTGGGCCCAAGAGATAGTGGTGATTTAAGGTAAAATAGAAAACAGAGAGACTAAAAGTGTAATTTTACCCTTTGTTATTTTGAAAGCTAAAAACCCCTTCCCTATTATATGATTTCACATGACCACTCCCCTAAAACACTAACCAAACACTCTTCCTCTTCCTTTCATCTTTTCTTTCTTCTTCTTCCTTTCCAAGGTGAAGGTTTACGGATCTCAAGTTTAGTTTCGTTAAACCAAGGTAATAATATTAATCCTCACCCTTCAAGCTTCAATTTAAGTTCCATTTCTCAAGTTTTATACTTAGTTTCCAAAAATGGGTTTTATAGAGGTTTAAGAGAATCTATGGATTTTAGCTCGTTTTTAGTGTATTCAAGTTATAAGAAGTATTTTTAACTTTAACCCAACCACGTAGTTGATTTAGTAACTCATTTTCTTAACTTTGATTAGTGAAAGAAGTGGGAGAAAGCTCAAGAGAGAGGGGAAAAGAGAAATTGCCTATTGAGTGATTTGAGGACATTTCTAGTAATCAAGAAATCAAGGTAACACATTCACAACTTCTTCATACCAATTATGGGACACTAGAAATGCATTATATCTTAAGAGTTGAGTGTGAATCATGTTTAGTAGTTTTCATGGTAGATTCTATGTTTAAGTGTTATAACATGTTTCAAAGCCTTATTTATGACCCCTAAACGTCACGTAAAAGACTAATAATGATTGGGAATTAGTTTGAGTGTAAATTTTAAGCCCAAGTAGGGTAATTTCGAATAAAATGATGTAAGAACCCTAATTAGTAGGGATAAGGATCGTAATGATGAGGATAGAAATCGCAACAGAGACAAGACCAAAGAGAAAATCCCTGACCGGGATAGAGACAGGGAACATGGACAGGGTAAGGTGAAAACAACCGATAACCAGAAACTTTTGGATGCAAAACAATTAATTGATATGATTCCAAAGACCAAGGAGGAGCTATTTTCATATGAGATAAACTGGAATGTTTATGACCAGGTAAGCATCTTTTCACATGTCTTTTTTAAACTGTTATTTTCAAACATTCTGTCCTCTGGTTAGGGCTAACTAGTTAAAATAGTGCATAATGTTAGCTTCAATTGCATTAGGCTTGTTCTTCCTTGGCATATATGGAACTAACATGAACATTGCAGTATCCATATTTCTCTTCTGCATTTGTTTGAAATAATCATCTTTGGGCAGATATCTTTTACCTTATAATTTTAGTTTAAACCCAATTATAAACTTGACACTAATTCTAAGTGGTACTGTCACTTGTGCAGCATGCACTGCATGAGAGAATAAGACCCTGGATTTCAAAGAAAATTATGGAGTTCTTGGGAGAAGAAGAGAAAACTCTGGTTGATTACATCGTATCGAGTACTCAGGAACATGTCAAGGCTTCTCAAATGTTGGAGCTGCTGCAGTCTATATTAGATGAGGAGGCAGAGATGTTTGTGCTTAAGATGTAGAGGATGCTGATATTTGAAATTAAAAAAGTGGAGACTGGTCTGGCTTTGCGTTCGAGATCCTGATCTAACATTGATGCCGTGCTGGCGGTTCATGTGTTGGTTTTAAGAAGTGTAGATGCGATAATTGGCAAAAGGGTTTTCGGCTGCGTCAGAAGGCAATAACAGAGGCGAAATCGAACCCATGAAGTAACCATGGGTAGCTTAGAAGGTTGTCGTTGTCGATTTGAAGTGAGGGGGAGTTGGAATTTGTGGCCTGAAGGGGAAGTTATAGGCAATCAGGCGGACGAAACCAAGACAAGGATAGGCATCGATGTTATCCAGAATGTGATTGGTAAAGAGGATTGGATCATGTTTTTGGATCTCAAGGGGGGAAATATCCAAGTTTTTTTCTTGTTTTGTCTCCCTAGTGTGTTGGGTGTATATGATCCTAGGCCTAACTTTTATGGAGAAGAGAGAACCCAAAAGAATAATGCCCCTTCCCTGTCCTTGATACATGAGATATTTTTGTCTGTTTTGTTCATATAATCTACATAAAAAGTTGGAATTATTATTGATCTTCTTGTTCTCGTTATGGGATAATTATCATCATGTTTCTCATAACACCCCCATCAGAAAATGGTCGTTCAACTTCATCAAATGCCATTGTTCTTGTTATTTTTTTACTGTCTCTTGGTGATAATTGCATAATAAAACCAGATGAAAAGGTCACATTCATGAAACAATGAACTTTTAAGAGTTAACATACTATTGAAATAGCCCTAAGGGATCTCAATAAGAGAATCTAGGAATCCATTCATTAATTTCGATTCAATCATGAAGATTCTAAAAGAAAGACAAGGGCAATTCAACTAATCTGAGGGAATCTTGGGGGCCTTAGGGATAATAATATGAAAAGCTTCAGCTTCCTCTTTTGACACCAAGAGAACCAAGTACAAGTTGAATATGGTGGTTCGCTCATTTGAGTTATTGAAACAGAGACCTGTCATATACAAATCTCCACTCTATAGATATAGGACCACAACTAGATGAACATATGATCTTTGGGTTCTTACATCATTTTATTCGGAATGATTAGCAAATCTTTGGGTTAGCAAATCTATATTAAGCGGTAATGGATTATAAGATGGTTTTCCATGTTTATATTAAGAGCATTAAACCCTAACGAAGCAAAAAACAAAGACAAGAACGAAAATAAAGGAACCTGTGATGGTGCCGTTCTTGAACTCAATCGACACCGTTTCATTGTTCAACTTCATCAAAAAACCTGCACATTGTTTTTCAAACCGAAGCCATTTTAAAGAGATCCAACAAGTTGTTTTTAATTTTTTACACGTAATTGTTACACACGAAGGGAAGATAAATTTCGCTAATCAAGAGTTGAGATTAAAGAGGGAAATGGAAACTGACCTGATGAGCTTCATGTTGAGAAGAGAGAACAGAACTAGAGCATGAGGCAAAAGGCGAGAAACCTAAATCAAAGGAAGCGGGAAAGAGAGGGAAAGAAACGGACTCTGTTTGCTGCTTCTACCAGGCCTCGAAGTTAGAGGTGATTTAGGGCTCAATAATATTACAGCGTTTATACATAAAACGCCACTAGATACAATAATATTGCGGCGTTTATCAAAAAACGCCGTACCATTAATACTCAATAGCGGCGTTTGTACAAAAACGTCGCTAAATGACTACTCTTTTACGGCGTTTATTGATAAAACGCCACAATAAATAACTCTATACCGACGTTTATTCCAAAAACGCCGCTAAATTACTACTCTATTACGGCATTTTTTGAAGAAACGCCGCTATATTATAATTTGACAGCGTTTGGATTATAAACGCCGCTATATTTCAATATCTTGTGGCGTTTACTCTCCAAATACCGCTAAAAATGCCGCTACAGAACACTTTTGCTATAGTGATTATTGTGGCGTTTGTTAAAAAAAACGCCACTATTGATTAAAACTATTACGGCGTTTTTGTAAAAACGCCACTATTGATTAACACTATTGCGGCGTTTGTATAAAAACGCCACTATTTATTATAACTATTGCGGCGTTTTAAGAATAAATGCCACTATATGTGTAATCTATTGCGGCGTTTGTGGTATAAATACCTCTAATTTACCGATCTATTGCGGCGTTTTGGCTAAAACGCCACTATATGTTAATCTATTGCGGCGTTTGTGGTATAAACGCCACTAATTTACCACTCTATTACGGCGTTTATTGTAAAAACGCCGCTATATGTCAACTCTATTGCAGCGTTTTTACAACAAACGCCGCTAAAGTATCAATTTGTGGCGCTACGATTGTAAACGTTGCTATATGTTTAACTTTTGTTGCGTTTTCTCTCCAAACGCCGCTAAAAACGTCGCTACATATCAATTTTGCTGTAGTGAGTTCATATCTATCATAGCTTGAAGGGACGGGATGCGTTCTTCGCAAATTTTATATGACTCAAAGTAATAAGAATACCTATAGTAGAGATCTTTCCTACGTCCAGGTTCATTGAAGCACGAATTACCTATAGTCATAAGGGAATCAGGAATTTGAGGAGGATTTGGATTTGGAGGTCGATTTTGAGGTCGGTTTGATCGACTAGAAGATGATCTAGTTCGTTTGTGAGACATGACTTAGGAATTCGGAATAGAATGGATAACCTACAATTTTTGAAAAATATATATATGCAATTATATCAATATATTCCAAAACTCAAATGAGTCCTGAATATTTCAAGGTTCTCTAAAACAATCCTAATGGGCAAAGTTTTGAAAACTATTTTGAAAATAACATTTGAGAATCATAATACGTATGATTTTCATGAAAACAACATAATTGAATCTAAAACATCAATTAAACCCATGATTTTCGAAAATAATAAAAAGTTTTATATTTCGAAATTTTTGAAATTTTTTGAAAAATATTGTGTTTTTGATGAAATTAGTTGTAGAATCTAGTTTATAAATAACATATGATCAATTCCCGATAATTATTTTAACCTAGAACTAATCTAAACTAGTCCTAAGCTCAAAATATGATAAAATAGAGGTTTTTGGGGAAAAAATACCTTAAAAATTTCGGATTGAGTGGAATTTGATGTTGTTTGCACAAATTAATGATTGAGGCAGGATTGGGAGTTGATATGCAACTGAATTCCGACTAAAATTTGATGTTTTGAAGCAATGTAGTGATTTAGGGAGAAAAAGATAGAGCACGGCAACAAAACTGGAGAGGAGAGGGTTTGAAAGAATGAGGTTTTTAGAGAGTTTTTAACATATCCCGTGTAGGGTATCAGTACCATTAGGGGGGTATCGATACCCATTCAATGATGGTATCGATACCTATTGCAGAGGTATCGATACATATTCAAAGGGGGTATCGATACCAGTCTTAGGGGTATTGATACTTTATGCACAAAAATGTCAAAAATCTGTTTTAAACACTCAAAATGCTAAATTAATTAGCTCTAGTGATATTGGAACCTCATATATTAAAAATTAATCATGTTCAATTAATCAAATTAGTCCTTAAGCTACATTTGAACATAAATTTAATTTACACCAAAGAACATAAACTCCCTCTAACTAATATCAAAGAATGCAATCAAAAATTATTATTATAAGCATCTTTCATTTATTCTTAAAAGTGCGAAAAATTATTTTAAACACTAAGTGAAGATAGGTCAGTTAAACCTAATTCTCTCGTAAGTGTCCAAAATCTTTATTTGTCTAAAGGTTTTGTAAAGATATCCGCTAATTGGTGCAAAGTATCAACAAATTCTAGAACTACATCTTCCTTAGCGACATGGTATCTAATGAAGTGATGTCTTATTTCAATGTTTTTAGTTCTAGAGTGTTGGATGGGATTTTTAGTGAGACAAATAACACTAGTATTGTCACACTTGATAGGAATGATACCTACTTCAATTCCATAATCAAAAAGTTGTTGTTTCTTCCATAAGACTTGTGCACAATAACTACCAGCTGAAATGTATTCTGCTTCAGTGGTAGATAATGCAACATAATTTTGTTTCTTTGAAAACCAAGAAATCAGCATATTTCTAAGGAATTGGCAAGTATCGGAGGTGCTTTTCCTATCTATTTTACGTCCTCCATAATCCGCATCAGAAAAGGCATGCAAGCTAAAGCTAGAGTCTCTAGGATACCAAAGTCCTAAACTAGGAGTGTCCTTAAGGTATCTAAAGATTCTCTTAACAGCAAGTAAATGTGATTCCTTAGGGCATGATTGAAATCTATCACATAAGCAAACACTAAACATAATGTCCAGTCTACTTGCAGTTAGATAAAGCAAAGAGCCAATCATTGACCTATATAATTTAACATCCACACATTTACCTCATTCATCTATGTCAAGCTTTGTTGATGAGCTCATTGGAGTGTCATGAGATTTCTCATTTTCCAGTCCAAACTTATTGAGCATGTCTTTGACGTACTTAGCTTGATTGATGAAGATGCCATCTTTTCTTTGCTTGATTTGGAGTCCCAAGAAAAATGAGAACTCCCTCATCATGCTCATCTCGAATTCACTTTGCATTAGCTTAGAAAATTCTTGGCAAAGAACATCATTAGTAGAACCAAATATTATATCATCAACATAAATTTGAACTACTAATAAATCTTTACCTTTATGCTTTAAAAACAATGTAGTGTCAACCTTCCCTTTTGAAAAACCTTTTTCGATTAAAAAATTTGACAATCTTTCATATCAAGCTCTAGGAGCTTTTTTTAAACCATAAAGCGCTTTTGTCAATTTAAGAACATGATTTGGAAATTTTAAATCTTTAAAACCTGGAGGCTGTTCCACATACACTTCTTCTTTTATAAAACCATTTAAAAATGCCTTTTAACATCCATTTGATATAATTTAAATTCATGAAAACATGCAAATGATAATAACATTCTAATTGCTTCTATCCTAGCTACGGGAGCGTATGTTTCATCATAGTCTATGCCCTCTTCTTGAGTATACCCTTGAGTAACAAGTCTAGCCTTGTTTCTCACTATATTACCACTCTCATCAAGCTTGTTTCTAAATACCCATCAAGTACCTACAGTAGACTTATTACTAGGTCTTTCAAC